CCGGGCGGGGCGCCGAGGAGCCGCTCCCGCCGCCCACCCGGGCCGCGGCGGGGACGCGGGGTCGCGGCGGACAAAGGGCCATGCGGGGCCGCGGGCGCTGAGCGCGGCGCGATGCCGTGGTTCCCGGTGAAGAAGGTCCGCAAGCGGATGAAGCTGCTGCTGCTGCTGCTGCTGCTCACCTGCGCCGCGTGGCTCACCTACGTGCACCTGAGCCTGGCGCGCCAGGGCCGCGCGATGCGACAGCGGCCGGGCCACGCGCGAGGTAGGGGGAGGGGCGAGGCTGGGCCCCGCGGGCAGGAGGGGTGGGCCTGGGCGATCCCCGCCCCTCCCGGCCTTGTGGGGCCTCCGTCCCCGAGGTGGGACAGCCGAGGCCTGAGCGCAGTCGGACGCTTTCTGCGGGGCCTGGGTACCCCGGGAGGGCGCCCAGTGCTGCCCGTCGGCGCTCACCCCAGCGGGGCCCTCACGAACAAAGCAACCCTGTGAGCTAGAGCCCGGGAGCCTCTGAAACGCTGACCTTTGACACATCGCCTGGGCGGAGCTTGCAGGAGGCCCTGCCCGGCTGGTGGGAAGGGGCCGCCAAGGAAGCTGGTGTCCTGAGGGTGTGGGGACAGGCAAACAGCGTCAGTCCTCCGGAGAGCACCCTCGTGGAGGCCGGAGCCCCCGTGCCGTCTTCCGCCTCTCCTGGTGTGCCCGCACCCTGGGCTCCCAGACCACCAGACCCTTCACCAGCGCTTGCACCTCATGGCTGCCACACTTCCAGAGACCCCAGCACTGGGCCGCCCCTAAAAGGAGCCCCCACCCACCCCAGCTGTCCGTAGCTAGGGCAGGACCCAGAGCTGACAGCATCATAATAAACTGGGAGCATCAGCCACCGCTGTGGTTTCCCCAGTGGCAGCCCTGGATCTCCCCGTGAACAGACAAGGGTCTGTCCAGGAGAGGGTGGAGACACAGAAGCCCCACTTCTGCAGCTTGGACTCCTCTGCCCTCCCTTGGTCAACCAGGGCAGGCGGTCAGTGGCCCTCGCTCCTGGGCAGGCAGGAGCTGTTCTGGGTCCTGGAAGGTCGACGCTGCCAAGGGCCAGGCCCAGAGCAGCCTGGGCTGCACAGGTGGCACCAGCCCCACACACCTGGCCCTGAGCTGAAACCCTGTCCCCTGCCTCACCAGGCCAGGGTGCTGAGCCACTGAGCAGCCGGACAGGCCTGGGGTTCTCCTGACCATCCATCGGGGGAGGCAGCACCGGGTAGTGTCCAGCAATCTGGGCAGGGGATCCCCAGGGGACAGTGGAGCAGGCCTTGGCCGGGACCCTGCTGCAGAAGGCGTATCACCCCTCACCCTGTGTCTGGACTTAGCGTGGGCTGTGGGCTCTGGCCAGGCTGTGAGGGTTGGTCCAGGAGCATGTTAGGTGTTTGCTCCCCACGTGGCCAGGAGGAGTGATGGGAGGATCTGGAGCGAGGGGAAGCAGCAGGCACTGCCAAGGTGTCAAAGGCCAGAAAGCTCTGGGCAGCCCCTCTCCCCAGAGAAGGGCCCCCAACCAATTTGGTCTCGGCTTTGGCTGTGCCAGATTCTAGCTCCTGAGGTCTGTGGAAGGACAGGCAGACATGCCAGGCTTGGCCTTGAAGCAGGTTTAGGTTGCTGTCCCTACTTGGGAGCATCAGGAGGGCCAGAGGTGGGATAAAGTGAAGCCTCCCCCTTCCGAGGCTCAGATCCTAAGGCGTGGACACCTCCAGGTACACACTAGCATGTTGAGGTTCACGGATTAGGGAAGAGGTCCAGGAAGAGGAGCAAATGGGGGTCCTTGGAGAGGAGCCAGGCTGTGGAGCAAACCACAGAGGACAGTCTCCCTCCAGGGCCACCTTGCCACAGGTCCTCTGGCAGGCAAGACGATGTGCCCATCTCTCCTCGGCCCAAGCTGGTCCAGGTGGCACAGATGCCACAAACCAGACCTAGCTTGGCCTCAGGGTGTCAGTGCTGGCCTCCCTGACCACCAGGACACTTACTGCAGTAACCCTGAGTTCTCAAATCTCGTGAGGAAGCAAAGATGCTACAGGCACTGGACAGTCCTGATTTCTTCCCAAAGCAGAGCTACTATGTGAAGACAGTCAGGCAGCTGTTTATGTGCACACAGACACACGCTAACACAGTAACCTATTGCATATGCACACAGATGCGTGATAGCCTCTTACATGTGTGTGCAGATGCACACTGGTTTGTTGTGTGTACACACTAGCCTATTACATATGTGCACACTTGCGCACGGGCTTGTTGCATGTGCATGCGGGTATGAACAGGCCTGTCGTGCAGATACACGCTGGCCTGTGACGAGTGCACCAATATGTGCTAGCCTGTTGTAGGTGTATACAGATATGTGCTGACCTGTTGCCTGTGCATGCAGATCCGGGCTAACCTGCATGTGCACAGCTCTGTACCCTTGCACCAGCCAGTTTGGGAAGTGGGACACGCTGCCCACCCTGTCCACTCGGGGGATGTGGGAAGATCAGTGCAAGGAGTGGCCAGGTGAGGGTAGGGTGTCAGGTGCCATGAGGGAACAGACATGCGAGACACGTCAGCAGGGTCCTGGTCCAGACAGGCTCTGTGCCACACACACCTCACGTGCCCTTGCAGATGGTGAAAAGCTGGCCGATGTGACAGATGGCCGGGGTATCCAGGGGGCGCCGTCCACGCAGAGGGCAGAGGACTCCAGCGAGAGTCGTGAGGAGGAGCAGGCGGTGAGTAGGGGCCATTAGAGAAGCTGGTGTGTGCAGGTCGCTTGGACGGATGGACACAGCCCAGCCTGCAGTTCCAAGTCGCTGATGTGTTGCTGGGTGGCCACATGGCTGCCTGGCCAGACATCCGGGTGTGGAGGGCTGGCAAACGGTCTCTGTGGTGCCTGGGCAGGCTGCGTGTAGCTGTGGGACCCCTCCCTGCCCTCTCTGTCCCTCAGCCTGAAGGCCAGGACGCAGATGAGCTGTTTCCTGGGGGGGCTGGGAAGCCACCCCCACTGAACCTCACCCATCAGGTGCCCAAGTGGCAGGAGAAGGTGAGCTCTGCCGGGCCCGGAAGGGCGGGGAGGTGGGGGCCGTGCAGTGGATGAAGCCCCTCTGCCCTCAGTTCAAGGGGCAAGTGAACCTGCACGTGTTTGAGGACTGGTGTGGGGGCGCCGTGGGCCACCTGAGGAGGAACCTGCACTTCCCGCTGTTCCCCCACGTGAGTGCCCCAGAGCAGCAGGGGCGTGGCGGGCGGGCCGGGCTGTGCAGCACTCCTGACGCAGTCCCTGCCCCCAGACCCGCACCACCGTGAGGAAGCTGGCCGTTTCCCCCAGATGGAGGAACTACGGACTCAGGATCTTTGGCTACATCCACCCGGCGAGAGATGGTGCGAGGCTGGGTTGGGGGGAGGGGGCCGGCGGGGCCTGGCCCTGACCCTGGCCTGTGGACTAGGCGACGTCCAGTTCTCGGTGGCTTCAGACGACAACTCTGAGTTTTGGCTGAGCCTGGATGAGAGCCCAGCAGCCGCCCAGCTTGTGGCCTTCGTGGGCAAGGTACTGTGCCTGGGCCAAGCCCTCCCTGGGTGCCCCCAGGAGAAGGTACACCCCATAACCCTGCTGTATCACCCCCAGACTGGCTCTGAGTGGACAGCGCCTGGTGAATTCACCAAGTTCAGCTCCCAGGTGTCCAAGCCCAAACGGTGAGTGACTGTAGGACGTACAAGCATTCATGTGTGTTTGTACATGAGTGTCGGCATATGTGAGTGGGGTGTGTTTAAGGGTTTATCCATGTACGCATGTTGGTATGTGTATGGCTGGGTGTGTACAGGCATTCATGTACACATGTTGGTATGTGTGACTGGGGTGTGTACAAGCATTCACATGTGTGTGCACACATACTGGTGTGTGTGAGGGATGGGTGTGTACAAACATTCATTATCTGCACGCATGTTGCTCGTGTGGCTATGTTGTGTTGCTTGTGTGGGTGTGTACAAACATTCATGTGCGCACCCACATGTGTTGGTGTGTAACCAGTGTGCGCAAGTACTCTTGTGTATGAACATATGTTAGTGTGTGGGTGATGTGTGTACAAGCGCTCATTTGCATGCATGTTGGTGTAACCAGTGTGTAAGCATTCATGTGTATGCACGTGTTGGTAGTGACTGGTGTGTGTATAACCATTCATGTGTGTATGCATGTGTGTGGTGGTGTGTGTGACTAGGATATGTGTAAAGCACTTTGTGCACACATGTTGGTGTCTGTGACTGTGATGTATATGCAAACATTGATCTGTGTATGCACACATGCTGGTGTGTGTACCAGCACTCGTGTATATGCATGTGTTGGTATGTCAGTGGTGCGTTTACAAGCACATGTTTGTGTGTGTGTTGGTGTATGACTTGTGTGTATAAGCACTTGTGTTTACACACTTGGTGTATGTGAATGACTGGCGTTTGCACAAGTACTCATATGCACATGTTGGTATGTGTGACTAGGGTGTGTACACAAGCATATGTGTGTATTCACCTGTGTGTTGGTGTGTGTGACTGACACGTGTGTACCAGCAATTGTGTGCATATGCACACGTGTGTTAGCATGTGAGAAGAAGGCCAGTGGCATCTCCTCAGCCTCTGTACCCTATCACACACTGTACCAGCACCATCCTGGCCAGACCACTGTCCCCAAGCGACTAGCCAGGAGGCCTGGGAGCTGCTGCCCGTCCCGGCTGTCCATCTGTTCTGTATGAAAGGCAAGCCTTGCCTTCTCTCCATAGGCTCATGGCCTCCCGGAGGTACTACTTTGAACTGCTTCACAAGCAGGATGACCGGGGCTCAGACCATGTGGAAGTGGGTGTGAGTGCCTCCCCTCCCCATCCAGCTTCTACCTCGCCCAAGGGCACAACAGTGTGGTCCCCACCGCAAGGGGCACAGAAGAGCCTTGCTGATGAGTGACAGTCCGCCTGGAGGTGGAAAAGTAGAATTGGGAGTGGGATATGCAGCATATTAATTCCAGCCCCCGAGGGGTCCGGCGGCCAGGTGGGGGAGTGCGGGGTGGTGCTGGACTGTGCAGACTGTCCTGAGAACAAGCCAGTGGGATGTCCATTCCAGGAAAACCCATGAGCTGGGGAGGAGCCTGGGAGGGAAGAAGAGCAAGTTGGAGATGGGAAGCATTTTCCACAGCGAGACCGAGGGCCAGAACGTGGCGGGGGTGCAGTTGGCAGGGAACCATGACCAGGGTCACGGAGGGGTGCTCAGCCCCGGGCCCATAGGCAGTGCCATGTGTCTGGCATGTTGGTGTCACCCAGCTCAGCATGCTGTACAGGCAGGCTCTGAAGTGACCCTGGGGAAGCCAAGGGAGTTGGTGAGGGGCCCAGGAAGAGCTGGGTATAAGAGGGCCAGAGTCAGCCCCTAGGAAGCTCAACTTGGGGCCAAGGAGAGGGATGGCATCTGCCAAGGAGACCAGAAGAGCAGCTGGGGACGGGCCAGGCAGGGGCTTGGTGGGGGCACGGGGTCTGACCCTTATGAGGCCACCAGTGACCTCAGGAAGCCGACGGTACAAAGCCAGAGAGTAGGTGAAGTTGCAGGAAGATCTCTGGAAGTGCAGAGGGCAGGACGGGGAGGGTTAGGGGTCAAGATCTGCGCCTAGGGTCTCAGCCTTCAAGGCCTCCTGCCAGCCTCCCTTCCCAGGCGCTGACAACCCTGGCCCACCCACCCTGAGACGCCTGCCTCCCTTGAGGGCTCACTCCCACTCTGTCCCACCCCAGTGGCGCACATACCTGCCGGGCCTGAAGTTTGAAGTCATCAGCGCTGCTCACATCTCCCTTTACACAGGTACTCTGGGCACCTGGGGAGGCAGCGGCTCTGGGGGTGGCCCAGCTGGGCGGGAAGGAGGACCTGGATCAACCTTGGGCCCACAGATGAGTCCTCCCTGAAGATGGACCATGTGGCCCACGTGCCCCAGTCTCCAGCCAGCCATGTCAGGGGCCACCTGCCCAAGGAGGAGTCCAGCGCAGACATGCTGCGCCCAGACCCCAGGGACAGCTTCTTCCTCAGTGAGCCGGCCCCCAGGGAGTGGAGGGGCCGGGCCAGGCCGGGCTGGGCTGGGCTGGGGCGGACCGGCCCAGCCCTTGACAAGGACCCCGCCCACAGCACCCCGGATAGAGCCCTGGAGCCTGGAGAGCGTGCTGGAGCCCTGCGCCTACGCACCTACCTACGTTCTCAAGGACTTCCCCATCGCCAGATACCAGGGCCTGCAGTTTGTACGTGCCCAGACCAGAGCCCCACTGTGCTCCAGGCACCCCCTCGTTCCCCGGAGGCCCTGAGCCCTCGCCTCGCCTCTCCCCCAGGTATACCTGTCCTTCGTGTATCCCAATGACTACACCCGCCTCACGCACATGGAGACGGAGAACAAGTGCTTCTACCGAGAATCTCCCCGGTACCTGGAAAGGTAGGTGGGCCGGAGGGCACGGGGTGAGGCCTCACCAGGACGGCGGCTCTGACGCTCTGCTGCTCCAGGTTCGGTTTCTACAAATACATGAAGATGGACAAGCAGGAAGGGGAGGACGGGGAGGAGGAGCAGCAGCGCCGGGCCTTCTTGTTCCTCAGCCCCGAGGGTGAGCCTCCCCACGCCCACCCCGCCCCGCAGCCCCGCTGGCCCTGGCCGCCCGCTCACCTCCGCTGCCTGCAGACTTCCTGGACGAAGAGGACGAGGGGGAGCTGCTGGACAGCCTGGAGCCCACCGAGGTGGGCCCACCGCGGAGCGGACGCAGGCCTCCCACACCACCGCTGGCGGAGCGCGAGCCAGAGCTCTCAGCTTCCCACGGCCCTCAGTCCCGCCACTCCCGCGCGCTGCGCTGGGCCATGCGCCCCCTGTCCCTCTTCCTGGGCCACGCGCCACCCCCGCGCGCCGCTGAGAAGCCTCCTGCCAAGGTGTATGTGACGCGCGTGCGGCCCCGACCGCGGGTGTCCCCACGTGGCCCGGCCTGGCCTCCCCTGGCCGGCGTCCTCCTGCGTGCCCGCGCCGTGCCACGAGCGCAGCTGCGTGCACCTCGGCCCCGGCGCAGGTCCCGCGGGCCCCCAGGCACAGAGCCCCCCGCGCCGTCCACCCTCGGGGCCCCGCAGGCCCACGCGCCCACACCGGATGTGAACTCCTCGGCTGCCGCGCAGCCCATGACCTCCTTCCTGAGCTTGTCCCAGGTGTCCCGGCCGCAGCTGCTCGCCGAGGGCGAGGGGGAGGAGGAGGACCGGGCCCCTGGCGACGAGGTGGCCTCAGAGGACAGCGAGGAGGATGCCGCGGGCCGCGTGCCCGGGCACTGGCGAGAAGATGCTATCGACTGGCAGCGCACATTCAGCGTGGGCGCTGTGGACTTCGAGCTGCTGCGCTCAGACTGGAACGACCTGCGCTGCAACGTGTCCGGCAATCTACAGCTTCCGGAAGCCGAGGCCGTGGACGTGGCGGCCCAGTACATGGAGCGCCTCAATGCTCGCCATGGCGGGTAGGGCTGTGCCCAGTGGAGAGTGCCGTCTCCGTGGGACTTGGGCCCTTCGGGGTGCCCAGGGCCCTCGAGAAACCCCTGGCGCCTCCCTCCGGGAGCCCCATGCAGCACTGCTCCCATACTCCAGCACCTCCCAAGCCTTCACCTGCCACCCTCGACCCCTCTAGTCTCCCAGGCCCCAGGATCCAGCTTTTTTACTTTGTTGGGGCCCGGGGCTAATTTCTCAGCTGGGTACTTCTCAGAGAGGCTATGTTGTGGTCCTTTGAAGGACAGCCATGTGGGCACAGGCTCATTTGGAGCAGGAGGCCAAGTGCGGCCAGCAGGCAGGAGCTAGGAGGCTTTGGACAGGGTATGGCAGACTCCTCTGGGTCATTCCCAGTTTCGCTGGAGGAGAAAAGCCTGTTGAATGCCTAGGACTATCCAATCAGAGGCTGTGAGAGGCGCTGCACCCCAGGTGGCTCCAGGGCAAACCTGCTCTCGCATCCAAGCTTCTGTCCCATGGCCAGGAGGGGTCGTCCAGCTGGGTAGTGGTAGCTGCACCCCTACCTTTGCCCGCCTGGGTGCTGACCGGATGTTCCCGAGGAACAACCAGGTCATTCGGGCAGAAGGCCCGTGACTCGGGCAGAGCATGGTGGGGATACACAAGAGTCCGAGGAGGGGAGTCCAGATCCCTAGCGGTCATGCCAGTGGGCTCTCAGGGCAGACAGCACCGGCCACCAAAGGAGATCAGGGTGCAGGACAAACAGTCCAAGGCCCTGAGAGGAGCCCTGCCGGCCAGAGGTGGAGAGTGGTCGGAGAGGGGCCCAGGTGCCACCAAGCCTCCTACCCCAGCAGGGCTGTAGGAGCCCAGGAGGAGTCTGGTTGGAGGGGACCCAGAGACCTGAAGAGAAGGGCTTGGGGGACTGGGGCCAGAAGAGGGCAGGGCACTCCGGGACACAGAAAAGTGGACAGCGGTGAGCACCTGCTAGGAAGGGACGGTCCTCGGGGTCACCTACCTGCCTGTGCCACTCTGCTTCCCGCTCTACCCTGAGGAGGGGAGGCTTTTGTCTGCAGTGGAGGTGAGGGCCAGGCTAACTTCTGGGAAGCCAGGCGGAAGTGTGGCGCAGGGGCGGCCACAGCCTTGCGCGTCCCACCCCTCCCCGGCGAAGCTTTGAGGAGTCATGACCTCGATCCTATCCGGGGCTGGGCCGCTCGGGAAAAGCAGGGTGGGGCATGTGCTTTGGTCAAGCTGACCACCTCGCTTCTCCCCACAGGCGCTTCACGCTCCTGCGCATTGTGAACGTTGAGAAGCGCCGCGACTCGGCGCGCGGCAGCCGCTTCTTGCTGGAACTGGAGCTGCAGGAGCGCGGCGGGGGCCGCCTGCGCCTGTCAGAGTTCGTCTTTCTCCGAGTGCCGGGTGCGCACGCCCGCGGCGAGGAGGGAGGGAGCCCCGAGCCCCCTCCCGCTGCTTCCACGCGCCCAGACAGCCGCCCTGAGCTCTGCCGACCGCTGCGCCTCGCCTGGCGCCAGGACGTGGCCGTGCACTTCATCGTGCCAGGTGCGCGGGCGGGCGGGCGAGCCAAGGGGCTGGTGGGGGCCGAGGTCGCGCCGCCGACCCCGCGCCTCCTACAGTTAAGAACCAGGCGCGCTGGGTGGTGCAGTTTCTGGCGGACATGGCCTCACTGCACGCGCGCACGGGAGACTCGCGCTTCAGCGTCATCCTGGTGGACTTCGAGAGCGACGACATGGACGTGGAGCGCGCCCTGCGCCAGGCACGGCTGCCCGGGTAAGAGCCTGCAAGGACTGCGGGGTTCCCGAGCCCGCCGCCAGGCCCACGCCGGTGACCCTTCGTCCTCCGCAGGTATCAGTACCTGAGACGGACGGGGAACTTCGAGCGCTCTGCTGGGCTGCAGGCCGGAGTGGATGCTGTGCAGGTCTGGGGGCCGGGGCTTGGGGAGCGCGATGGGGGCCACAGAGGGGCCTTCGGACGGCGTAGGCTCAGATCTTCGGCCCTCCAGGACCCCAGCAGCATCGTCTTCCTCTGCGACCTGCACATCCACTTCCCACCCAGCATCCTGGACAGCATCCGCAAGCACTGCGTGGAGGGCACGCTGGCCTTCGCCCCCGTGGTCATGCGCCTGGGCTGTGGGAGTTCCCCTCGCAACCCGCAGGGTAAGGCCGGACGGCTCCTCAACGCCAGGGCCCCGCGGACCGCCAGGGTGCGCCCAGAGACCCCCAGGCAGAGCTCCGGAGCCCCCAGGGTCATGCTAGACGCCCTGGGATCCCGGCTTCCCAAGGTTCTCCTCCCTCTTCCTTCCCTAAGATGGGGCATGGGAATGGCCTTCGGGGACTGCATCTGAAAACCTCTCCAACCCCAGGCTACTGGGAAGTGAACGGCTTTGGTCTCTTCGGGATCTACAAGTCCGACTTCGACCGCGTGGGAGGCATGAACACGGAGGAGTTCCGAGACCAGTGGGGAGGCGAGGACTGGGAGCTCCTGGACAGGTGACAGGCTGAGGGGACGTCTCGTGCTCCTCGGATGGTGGGGGAGAGGGCAGGGCCCACCTCCATCTTTCCGGGAACCCCCACCCCACCCCACTCCCGGAAGCCCGCCTCCAGGTGCTGTGGCCCCGGCAGGAGTCACTGACGCCCTCCGCCTATCCCCAGGGTCCTGCAGGCGGGGCTGGAGGTGGAGCGACTCCGACTGCGGAACTTCTACCACTACTACCACTCCAAGCGGGGCATGTGGGGCACACGCAGCCGCAGGGGGACCCGCGAGGAGCCGGCCTGAGGCCGGGCAGCACAGCCACCACCCGTGCCTCCCCATCCGGCCTGGCCCGGCGGCCTCCCCGGAGGCCCCCTTCCCAGCCAGGCTGCCAGGCTGCCTCGGTCCTCACGCTCCGAGATGATTTCTGTGAAATTTTCAGTAGCGATGACATTGTTTCCAGGATTTCCAAGAGTTCTGTCTGTTCCGTTTTTATTCAGATTGAAATGAAATATTTTTTTTAGTTCTGACCTGTTCTCTGTCCTTCTTCTCGGGGTGGCCCCAGATGCTGCTGGCTCCCTCTGTCCGCCACCCACCCCACTCCCCAGCCCTCCTGCTGGCAGCTTCCACAAGTGCTGCTGAAAGCCACCCCCGCCAGGCCTACTCCCATGGGCGCTGCCTCGGTTCTCCTCCCTCACTCTCCTCCAAGGTGGGGCAGGGTCGCCAGGAACAGACCGCCCCGCTCCGGGTAGGGTGATCCCAGCTCTGGGGGAAGATGACTCCAGACTAGTTTAGACCATCATGGGGGCAGGAGGACCTTGGGGCAAATCAACGCAGAGACTGGGCAGTGCCCAGGACCCCAACCACCCCTGCACGCACCGCCCTGCTCCCCACCCTTGGAGTCCCAACCCCACCTTCCCTGGTCCAAGTCCTGGAGGGAGGCTGGGTAACCAGAACCAGAGCAGAGGATCTGAGAACTGCACAGGTTCACCTAGGGCTCTGGAGGTGAGCAGTCCTGAATCGCAGCTCAGCAGCACTGCCTCCTTTGGGCCACAGCAGGACTGATGGGTTCACGCCTCATCGTCAAAGCCAGAAGTGTAGCAGCTGGGGGCAGGGTGCGCTGTCTCTGTCTCTTTCCATCTCTATATGCCTCTGTCTCTGTTGGTTTCTGTTTATCTCGGTCTCCGCTTCTGTTTGTCTGTACATGTATCTCACAATCTTGTCCTGCCTCTCTCTGTCTCTCTGTTCACTACCTGCTCCTGTCTCTGTCTCAGTCTCTCTGTCTGTCTCTGTATCTGTTTCTATCCCTGTCTCTCCTTTGCTTCATCCTCAAATCCCCTTCAGAGGCTCTGACCCACCTGCCCCCTTCTACAAGGACCCCAGTCATTCCACGCCCTATCCAAGAAACCCAAGATGAATTCTATCTGAACACCCTCTGCTTGGTCACAAAGTCCCTTTTGCCATCCACAGCAGCAGTCATGCCTTGGGGGTCAAGATATGGACATCCTCAGGGCCAATGGGAAGCAACATTCTGCCCAGTGCCCAGCCATCCCTGGAGATGGACCCAGATAGCATCCTTGGGTCATAGCTCGCTGGGACACGGGCAGAGGAAAAGTAAAGCTGAAAGAGGATGTGATAGATGCTCCCATCTGACCTCAAAAGGACCCAGCAGAGGGAACGGGGAAGGGGCAGCTGGCAGGTCTGGACAGACACCAAGTCTGCACGACGTGTGCTTGCTGGACCACAGGCGGGAAGGACCCACGTGGCAGGCACCATCCACCACTACAGACCACCCAGAGCCCCTCAGGCCCACGCTGCCCCTTGCCTGAGTGCCCAGTTCTCAACTGTCCCCACTCACAGGTGTCTCACAACAGGAGAAGAAGCAGCACTGGGCTTCAGAGCATGTGCTATAAAAGATAAGGAAAGGAGAAAAGAAATGTAAGCAGCAGGCTCACACACTTGTACAGCACACGCTTGTCAGAATCACCGCAGAGCAGGACATGCACACGAAGTTCTAAGTGGCATAGACAAGCATGGCCTGTCAGTCCTTTCAGCAACTACTCCTTGGGTGCCCACCATGTGCTGGGAGGCCAGACGCCCCTCCAGACAGGCAGCAAAGGCAATGTCTGGTGTCCGCTGGTGGAAAGTGCTACAGAGGGAAAAATAATTACTAAGAAAGCCAGAAAAGAGTTCTCCATTTGTACAGAGTGGTCAGAAGAGCAAGCCTGTGGCAGCTACTCCTGGGCCATACCCAGGACAAGAGCAATGGGCCAGCTGGCACTGGGGAGATTTTAAAAGATCAGTGATGAAAACCATGGAGGTAAAAGCTATCTGACAGCACTTGGTAAGAACATGGGACAAACTGAAACCTTTATAACAGCCACTTTAGCAACTTCAAAAGACTGTTGGAAACCCAGTCAGGAACACGGGCGACAAACGGGGAAAAGCACACAGAATGACATGGAAAAGAACCCAAGTAACCCATGACGAAGCACCAGTAGAGCCAAGAGAGCCAGGCATGGTGGTGCACACTTGTAATCCCAGCACTCAGGAGGCCGAGGCAGGAGGATCACCACAAGGTTGAGGCCAGTTCAAGACCAAGCCTGAACTACATAGGAAGACCAAAGAAAGATAGACAAAAAGGATGAATGGATGGGTAGATAGATGATAAATAGACAGACAGACAGATAAATGATATAGCAAAAGAAACTTCTGAACCAAATACCAGCCAGAATGGTGAAAAATGCCTGCCAAGAAGTGAGAGGGGTGGTGGGTGGCCCTGCTTCCTGGGTGGGGTGGGGGAGACTGGGCCGGCTGTGGAACTCAGCAGAACATCTGCCAAGTCCTGGGGGACAGAAGAGGCCAGAGTGGCCCCAGCCCGACTGCCCTAGGCTGAGGACCCAGGAGGACTCAGGAGCAGGGACAGACTGCAACACCCGGTGGGACCTTGGACAGACTCAGCCAGCCAGGACAGAGGAAGTGGCCTGGACCCAGGGAGGGGCCAAGGGGCTCTGCTGAGACCCCCACCCCCACCCTACTCCTCTCTGCTGCCGCTCGGGGTCAGACATCTGGACCAATCAAAACATGGGCAAGTGGCTGGGGATTTAGCTCAGTGGTTTCGCCGCCTGCTGCACAAGCGCAAGGACCTGAGTTCAATCCCTGGTACCAAAAAAAAAAACATGGGCAAGTGGCCGAGCATGGTGGTAAAGGCCTCCAGCACTCAGGAGGCCGAGACAGAAAGATTGTCCTGAGTTTGAGGGCAACCTGGGCTGTATAGTGAGTTTAAGGCCAGCCTGAATTACAGAGTAAGAACTTGTCTCAAAAAAAAAAAAAAAGGGGGCAAGTGAAACGAATAGACACTCATCAGAGGTACAAATGGCCACGTGCATGAAGAAATGCTCAACGCTTCTCATCATTACAGAAATGCAAATTCACACAGCACTGGGTTCCCTCTCACCACAGAAAGAACGGCCGTCATCAAGACATCAAATGAAAACAAATGCTGGCGAGGCTTCAGGGCGGGAGGACCCTTCTGCATGTCGGTAGGAAGGTGCACTAGAACAACCACTATGGAAATCAGCATGGAGATCCCTCAGAACACTAAAACCAGACATTCCATTTGACCCAGTTAGGTATCTTCCCCAAAGAGTTAAAGGCATTATATCGCAGTGATCCATGCACACTCATGCTTATTGCAGCACAACTCATAATAGCTGAATCTTGGAGAGGCCTATATGATGAATGGATAAAGAAAATGTGGGATTTATACACAATAGAGCACTACTCTGCCATAAAGAAGAATAAACTTGAGTCATTTGTAGGAAAGTGGATGCACCTTGAGACCATAATGTTAAGCGAAATAAATCAGACACAGGAGGTTAAGTATCACATGGTTTCTCTTGTATGAGAAACCCAGAGTATAATTAATTTAAAGAACAGAATAAAACACATAGCAGGAAACAGGGAGATAGAGATGGAGGGAGTAAAAAAGAGTGAGGATGTGTTACGGACATGTACCGATCCCCCACCACGAGTGTAACCATTATGTACTATAAACATGTACTAATAAAAAATTAAATTAAAAAATGCATAACTAGGGCGGGGGATTTAGCTCAGTGGTGCCAGCGCCTGCCCTGCAAGTGCAAGGACCCAAGTTCGATCCCTGGTAGCAAAAAAAGCAAAACTCTTCTATGATCCTCTCGCCTGTCTCTGGGACTCTGGCTCTGCTCCTCAGAACGCCCACTGTGGCCTGCCAGGCTTGGCTCCCAACCAACCACAGACCCCAGTGCCCCTACTATACCTCAAGCCTCCCTTCCCCCTTCCTCCCTGAGTAGTGACAGCCTCCTGGGAGGTCCCTAGACCTCCCTCTCCCTCGGGTCGGAGTCTCCCCTTCTGCCCCTGAGGGACCGTCCCAGGCCCAGGTACCTCCTCACCATCATGGCTCCTCAGGGATTCCAGGAGACACTTAGGGAGGACGAAGGGAGGCTGCTTGCAGGATGCAGATCCTAGGCTGGGGATACCACCTCCTGCCGCACCCCACAGCCGAGTCCCTCTGGCCCCTTACTAGTTCTAGGTGAGGCCAGTGGCCTAGGGCCTGGGGTCGTGTGTGGCCACGGTCCATGTGTCCTCGGGGAGTCCTCTGGCGCTCACAGCCCTCACTGCCCAGGGGAAGGCAGGCCAGTAGGATGGTGCCATGGCCCCCAGCCCTGGGCCTCCAGTGCTGTCTCCAGAATCAGAGCCCCTGTATCTCAGGGCAGCTTTACTTCCCCCACACATCCGGCCTTTGCTGCCCTCCCACCACCTCTAGACTGCTACACAGAGGGCTCTGCAGGGCCCTAGGCGGCCCTGGGCCAAGGGAAGGCCGGGCCAACCATGAGTGCCAGCCGTATGCCTCCAGGCTGTCGGGGCCGCACAAACTTGTCTCCCAGGATTTTTCCACACGAAACACATCGCACAGGGAAGCAACAACCGGTCGGATGAGCTGGGTGTGCATTGTTCCCACCCCGCCTTCCATGCCCCTCCGTGCAGTCGCCAAGAGGCTGCCCACACCAGCGGCCCGGGATGGAGCCCAGGACACCTCGGCCAGCAGCAGCGACCTCTGGGACGAGCCAAGGGCCTGGCGGGGGCTGGACCACCGGCAGGGTAGGTGCCCCACCCAGCACCTGGTCGGCCCCTGGTAGGCCTCCACCCAAGGGAGTCCTGCACCTCCCCAGGGGATGCTCTGCCCCTAGCCCACACTCCTGCCACCTTCTCAGCCCTGGTCCTGCCCCCAGGCTGCCTCCAGACCCACTGAGGTAAGAGTCAGGGGCAGGGGGTGAGGGCTCAGAGGGCTCAGGGCAAGAGCTTGCCACAGGGACAGGCAGAGGCCTGGGGCAGCACCGGCGCAGCCTCAGAAGTGAGGGCCATGGATCGCCCCCAGCCTCCCCCGCCACCTCCTGGACCCTGGGCCTGACGGGGCATCTCAGAGCATGCCGCCCCACCCCCACTGACCCTTTCAGGTCTCCCTTGCAGGACCCCCAGCTCCTGTGCCCAGCCTGGCAGGCACGAACATGAGTCTGGGCCCCTCTGAGTCAACCCCCTGGGGCAGCCCTGCCTGCCCAAGTCAGCCTGCACCCTGACTCATGGGCTGGGAATGGCCTCCCACCCCAGGCCTGGGGAACAGCGGGTGGAGGTGCCAGAGAAGGGGTCAGCTGCAGAGTGAACTCAGGGTCTGTGGGCCTGGGGGGTCTCACCATTCCGAGGACTAGGGCAAGGGCCGCCATGGGGCCACCTTAAACACTAGCACTTGGGCCTGAGTCCTTTGCCCTCACCAGCCAAGCCCTTACAGAAGCTCTGGGTGCCAACCCCGCCTGCGGCAGCCCAGCTCCTATGGGGTCCTTGGAGTCCTGGGGCCCCAACCCCTCAGACTAGGGTACCCCTTCCCTGCAGGCTGGGTGACAGGCCCTGGCCCTCTGGCAGGGCCCTGTGTGTTCCTCGCACCCAGGAAGCTGGCACTGTGGGACCCGGTGGGGCCTCACAGGCTAGAAGCAAGCAGGGCTGGAGCTGTGGCCCAGACCTGGGATGGGAGATTGTCTGGAGGCGCCCGGGGCCTGTTCTTCCGCCCAAATTCCACCTTAAGCAGGCAGCAGGGGCCCCTCCCTCCCACCTGGCCAGGTGTCTCCGCCCACAGGGAGCTCAGGCTGGTCGAGCCAGCGTCTGTCTGCAGGCCCGCTCTGGGGCGCCAGCCACTGGGGAGGGGACTCTGGGGTCAGGGCCTAGAGGGCCAAGACTGTGAAGAGGCCCAGGCCAGGCTGGGTGGCCACCATGCAGGACAGTAACTTCCTGCTCTCGGCCCTACAGCCAGAGGCTGGCGTGTGCTCTCTGGCACTGCCCTCGGACCTGCAGCTGGATCGCAGGGGTGCCGAGGGCCCTGAGGCTGAGCGGCTTCGGGCAGCCCGCGTTCAGGAGCAGGTCCGAGCCCGCCTCCTGCAGCTGGGCCAGCAGCTGAGGCACAACGGGGCTGCCGAGCCTGAGGGTGCCACCGAGACCAGCAGAGGTAGGCAGTATGGCAAGGTGGGCAATGGGGAGCGGGGACTTGGGTGGCCCCAGCAGAGGTACCCGGCAGGTGTGGCAGTCAGAGGGCAGAGGCCGAGGCAGGCTCCGGGGTTTGGCCCCTGACTCACCAGGGCCTGCTCTGAGTCACCGCTCCGCCCCAGTGGGTGTGGGGAGCAGCCCTGGGTCGGGTGTCCCTTCTCCCAGCAGGGACTCTGGGTCCTCTAGGGAACCAGTTGGTCAGACCCCCCTGTCTCCTGGGCCTTGAGCCTCCCCACAGAGCTGCTGGGGAGTCAGGCACCTGGCGGGCCGGCCAGGCCCTTCTGCAGGCAGACCTGGAACAGGCCCCAGGGACCGAGGTCACAAGTATCTCAGAGCTGCCAGAGTCCCCACCCAAAGAATCAGTGGGACAGAAACATTGGGGGGGGGGGCGGTCCTGAGCCACAGCCAGGGCTGTCTGGACCAGGTTCCCTGAGGAACTGCAGGGGCCAGCTGGCGGGAGTGACCCAGATCTCCAGAACACGGGCGAGGGTGCCCCTGTGTGTGCGCGTGATATGTGTATGCATGATGCGTGTGTGTGTATGTGTAAGGGTCTTACAGACATGGCAAGTTCAGGGCTGTTGTTCTCCAAGTGTCACTTCCCCCCTTGCTGGGCTACAGCAACAGAGACTAAGGGAGCCGGGAGAATGGACCCCAGTTCACGTGAGCCAGCCTCTGGCAAAGGGGGAGGGGTCAGCCAGTGGGGCCAGGACAGTGCTGGGCTTGTACCTGTCTCTCTGGGCCTCAGCCTTGCTGGGCCAGGTCAGTGCCAAGGGCTCACAGGGTGGAGAAGGCCCAGGAAGGGGTTAATTACCGCCTGGCCACACTGCCAATTAGGGGAGGATTATAATTTGGGGGTGGGCATAAGGTCCCCAAGCGGGGGTGTGCCCCCCAGATGGGGCATCACAGCATCAAAGGGTTAAGCTTCATTAACCAGGGTGGTCTGGGGAGCACGGGGTGGGGAGCCCCCCAGACCACCCGATGGATCCCCCTGACTTCTTTAGAGGCCATGCTGCAGCAGGGACCCATGTCCCATGCCCCGCCCCAGGCCTTCCATCCATGCAGGCATGCTGGTCTCTTGGGGCCATACGCTTCCAGCTGTCTCTGCACCCTTGTCCGTCTACCCCACAGCCCACTTGCACACACTCTGTCCCTCTCTAGCCACCGGTCTGCCTGCCCTTCCAGCCGCCTGTCCCTCCAAGGCTTTGCCACTCTCCCTCCACAATGCCACACGGTCTACTCACCACGGGGTGGGGTAGGCGCCACTGCCTGGGCTCCTCTGTGGCTGGATGGGGCAGGTGCGCTCACTGCCCCGGGCTCTGCCAGGTCGGAGTGACTGCTGCCCACTAGGGCAGACTGGTCCAGCGTGGCTTCACTCCTCTGTGCCTGAGGCTTGGGTGGGTCCTGGGCACAGGAAGAGCCCAAGGGAGCTCAGTGTGGCTGAGGCAGGCGGGGCTGGCTTCCTAGAGGAGGGGGTGGGCATTGTGCCCAGATAAGGAGTGAAGGGCCGATGCAGAAGACCCTGGCTCATTCCCCTGGTGGCCAAGAGGTTAGTGGAGGGAGTGGTCCAATCCCTTGGAGGCTACGGAGGCACAGCGGGGTGCGTTGTGGGACAGGGACCACCAGGGCTGACGCTGGAGGAGAGAGGTTGGGTCTGTGCAAGGTGGGGCCCAGGCAGGGGTGGCACCCAGGACACGGACAGAAGGGTCTGGCAGAGGGAAGCACAAGGCCAGTGCTTTGCCGTCTGACCAGGTCAGCTGCCACGATTCCTGTCCACAGGCTCATCCCGGGGTCAGTACCACATTCTGCAGGCCAGCTTCAGCTCCCGCTCCCAGGGCCAGAGTGGGGACAGAGTCTCAGTGAGTGGCGGGACCCTGAGGTGGGGCAATTGAAGTTCCACTGTCCAGGTCGAGTGGGAGGTCTTCGGTGGGGATTGTGGCTCTGGGTTGGAGAGGGGATGGGCACAGGAGAGCCCAGCACCCTCACTGTCCCTCCCTCCCACAGACCTTCCGGCCAGTCGCCAAGCCAGCGTACAGCCCGGCCTCTTGGTCCTCCCGCTCTGCTGTGGACCTGAGCTGTGGTCGGAGGCTGAGCTCTGCCCACAACGGAGGCAGTGCCTTCAGGGTGGTGGGGTACGGGAGCACCCAACCCACGCCAGCCATCCCCACTCGGCCTCTGTCCTTCCATGAGCGTGGCGGCGCTGGCAGCCGGGCTGAGTATGACACACTGTCGCTGCGCTCACTGAGGCTGGGCGCTGGGGGCCTGGACGATGGCTACAGTGTGGTGTCTGAGCAGCTGGAGCCGGCAGGTGGCTCCACCTACAGGGCCTTTGCCTATGAGCGTCAAGCCAGCTCCAGCTCGAGCCGGGCTGGGGGGCCGGACTGGCCAGAGGCTGCCGAGGGCCCCCCAAGCCGCACCATCCGGGCCCCCGCCATGCGGACCCTGCAGCGATTCCAGAGCAGCCACCGAAGCCGCGGGGGAACTGGGGCAGGGCCAGGCACAGGCCTGGAAACCGTGGCCAGGGCCCCATCTGTGCGCAGCCTGAGCCTCAGCCTGGCTGACTCAGGTCACTTGCCCGATGTGCGTGGGCTGGACAGCTACATCAGCCATCGCTCTCTGCAAAGACTCAGCAGTGGGTAAGCTGGCTGGGCCCAGAGAGGAGGGGATTTTGCCATGGTGCTCGACCAAAGCCTAGGGCCAGCCTGACTCCTGCCCCTGCCTCTGCAGCTTCAATGACATCGACCTGCCCTCAGCAGTCAAGTACCTCATGGCCTCAGACCCCAACCTGCAGGTGCTGGGAGCGGCCTACATCCAGCACCGGTGCTATAGTGATGCAGGCGCCAAGAAACAGGTGGCTGCCCCTACTGTCCACCCCTGCCCCTTGGTGGCTGCCCACTGGCTATGCATGTCCTTGATGACCACCCTCATTGGCCCCTGTGCCCCTTGACCTCTGGTCCCTGACCAGCTCTCAAGCTGACCAGGCAGACCCACCCTGGACAAACCCACCCTGCCCACTGCCTCTCTGCAAAGGAGGGGCACAAATGTGCCATTTGCATTCACCTGCATGCATTGTATGGAGGTGTGGAGAGCTGCCAAGTCATCTGCACACTCCTGTGTCACCTACACACATCCACACATGCCCACATACTCCTGCATCATCACCCACACCTGCACACATCCACATCTGCTCCGGCACACATAGATGTGTCTGCAGGCACCCAAACAGTCTGCGTTCCTGTGCTGTAGGCTCACAGCCTTCAGGCTGTGCCGAGGCTGGTGAAGCTCTTCAACCACGCCAATCAGGAGGTGCAGCGCCACGCCACGGGTGCTATGCGCAACCTCATCTATGACAACGCTGACAACAAGCTGGCCCTGGTGGAGGAGAACGGGATCTTCGAGCTTCTGCGGACACTTCGAGAGCAGGACGACGAGCTGCGGAAGAACGTCACAGGTACCCTCGTCACCTGCCCTCCCTGTGTCCCGCCCTGCCCCCTGCAAGTTCCCCTCCTTTTCTTCACCTTCCTCTACCACCTGTGTCTCTTTTGCCCCTTGGTCTCCAAAACCCTGTTCTTTGTGGTTCTTGTTCCCGCTCCGTGTCTCTCTCTTCTTCTTTCTCTATCCCTCTCTCCTCTCTCTCTCGAGGTCAGACCCTGGGCCTCACCATGCCAGGCAAATACTGTAACACAGAACCACAGTGCAGCTCCTGCCCCTAAGCCTGTCCTCTCGCTCAGTCCCAGCCCCCAAACCTGAACGGTCACATGGAGAGTTTTGGGGGGAAGTTGTGGGTAGGAGCCCCCTGCAGCATCCCCAGAAGAGCCAGAGGTCAGTGGGTGGACCCTGACCACAGCCCCAGCCTCCTCCAGGGATCCTGTGGAATCTGTCATCCAGTGACCACCTAAAGGACCGCCTGGCCCGTGACACACTGGAGCAGCTCACAGACCTGGTGCTGAGCCCCCTGTCAGGCGCAGGGGGGCCCCCCCTCATCCAGCAGAATGCCTCTGAAGCTGAGATCTTCTACAATGCCACTGGCTTCCTCAGGTGCATGGGGCAGGGGCAGCAGACCAGGATAGTGGGGGTGAGCACACCGAGAAGGGGCACTTTCATCAGGAGCCTGGCACAAAGGAGGAGCTGGCCTGGGGCCTGGGCAAAGTGGACAGGCTGGGGCGGCCACAGGTGTGGGCATCACCCTGGCTGCAGGCTTGGGGAGTCAGGCCTCCTGCTCCAGCACTCACCCTCTCCCCAAGGTGAGGGGTGGTAGAGGAAAGACAGTGTAAAGAGGAATGAGGCTAGCACTGTCCTGCAGGGACTAGGAGTAGAAGGGAGAAGGACTTGTCCCCAGGACGGTGCCGTAGGGTCTGGGGTGGCTCTGCCAGGTCTCTGGGCCACTCGGATCTGCCTCCCTCCCCAGGAACCTCAGCTCAGCCTCCCAGGCCACTCGCCAGAAGATGCGTGAGTGCCACGGGCTTGTGGATGCCCTGGTAACCTACATCAACCACGCCCTGGACGTGGGCAAGAACGAGGACAAGGTGAGCAGTGGCCAGTGCCTTGGGGACTCAGGGGCTGAAGCTCGTGCTGACCGCCCTCCACCCTGGCCCTCTGCAGAGCGTGGAGAATGCTGTGTGTGTGCTGAGGAACCTGTCCTACCGCCTGTATGACGAGATGCCACCATCTGCCCTGCAGCGGCTTGAGGGCCGGGGCCGCAGGGACCTGGGTGGGGCCCCGCCCGGAGAGGCGGTGGGCTGCTTCACACCGCAGAGCCGGCGGCTGCGCGAGGTGGGCACACAGGAGGGAGCACCAGCCAGGCCCCCGCTGACCCCCAGGCCCCCGCTGACCCAGACCCCTAATCCTGCACCCTCCCGTGCAGCTGCCTCTCACAGCCGATGCGCTCACTTTTGCCGAAGTGTCAAAGGACCCCAAGGGTCTCGAGTGGCTGTGGAGCCCACAGATCGTGGGCCTCTACAACCGGCTGCTGCAGCGCTGTGAGCTGAACCGACACACAACCGAGGCAGCGGCAGGGGCCTTGCAGAACATAACCGCAGGGGATCGCAGGGTCAGTCACACGGGCTGCTGGGGGCAGGGAAGGAGGGCGGTATCTGCCCAGGAGTAGGCCCTGTGACATCTGGGTCTGAACAAGCAGAAGAGCCACCCGGCCAGGTCCTGACTGGGCAAAGGGCAGAACGGGTGGAGGCTGGCAGCGGAGCTGGAGAAGCAGTTCTGCCTCATCCCTGGGTCAGTGGGCCAGCTGGGGCGGTCAGTGGTCAGGGCTGGCAGGGGACTGCCTGTCCTCAAAACTCTCCCCTGCAGTGGGCAGGTGTGCTGAGCCGCCTGGCGCTGGAGCAGGAACGGATCCTGAATCCCCTGCTGGACCGTGTCCGGACTGCTGACCACCACCAGCTGCGCTCGCTGACAGGGCTCATCCGGAATCTCTCCCGGAACGCCAGGAACAAGGACGAGATGTGTGAGTCTGCCGCCCCCTGCCTGATGCTGCCGCACCCCAGCTGGGCTGGCCTCTGGTGGACACTGGGAGGAGAGGCAGGAACCCCAGATCCCTGGGAGCAGGAGTAGGCGGAGGCTGATCTCCTGACCTCTCCCAGCCACCAAGGTAGTGAGCCACCTGATCGAGAAGCTGCCCGGCAGTGTGGGTGAGAAGTCTCCCCCGGCCGAGGTGCTGGTCAACATCATTGCTGTGCTCAACAACTTGGTGGTGGCCAGTCCCATCGCGGCCCGCGACCTGCTCTACTTTGATGGGCTCCGGAAACTCATCTTTATCAAGAAAAAGCGAGACAGGTGAGGGCCGGCTGGGCCTTGGGCCCTGGCAGGGTGTGCCTGGCCACCCTGCCTTCTCCCTTGACCCTGACCCTCTGACCACCCCAGCCCAGACAGCGAGAAGTCCTCCCGTGCGGCCTCCAGCCTCCTGGCCAACCTGTGGCAGTACAGCAAGCTGCACCGAGACTTCCGCGCGGTACGTGCTGCATAGCCTGGCAGGCAGCTGAGGGCATAGCTGAGTGTGGGAGATGGCACATCGGGGTGGGACATGGATGCCCATGAGGTGCAGGAGACCTGGGACCCAGGCCATACCCAGCACACTGTGGCAGGACTGGGGTCTCCTGCCAGCAGGGCTGAGTAGGCACAGACCTGCACCCTGACTCCAGGCCCTCTCCGTACAGAAAGGTTATCGGAAAGAGGACTTCCTGGGCCCATAGGCAAGGCACCCTGGAGGAGAAGGTGGTGTGGCCAGCCTCCGAGGGACAGGCTCAGCTCTGGCTGCTCACCAGGCAGCTTGGAGGAGGAGCAGGCGGATGGCCAAGGGCACTCTCCCTGGCACCCATGTGCACCTTTGAGGAGCCTCATCATCGGGAGCGGACGGGGCTTACAGCTGGGCATTTGGCTTCTGCGGGGAAGGGGGCAGGCAGGGCTTAGGCTACTCTGGTGCATGGGGTGGTGACCCAGTCACAGCAGCAGAGATGGGGCTGGCCATGGCCTGGCAATGCCTCCAGACAGTGGTGTGGGAATAAAGGTGACTGAACACAGCCCTGGCCCTGTGTGTGTCCATGGCTGGGCTGCCAAACCCAGGACCTGCAGTGTCCCCAGTATGCCCCCCTGGCCCTTGGAGCACTCACCTCCTGGGCTCACACACAGGCCTCCCCAAGGTGAGAGGGCAAGAGAGAGGCAGGGAGTGGCCAGCAGAGAGAAGGAACAGCATGACAGCAGACACCTTGGGGCTCCCCGAGACACAGGGGAGCCATGACTGTGCAAGGAGAGTGACCAGAGGCATGGCCACTAGTGAGCAGTACTCATGCAGCAAACACACCCCAGACTCCAGGCTCAGCCTTGCCCCACGCCGGGAGGTGCCCAAGGCTTTGTCCAGGAGGCTCTGGGACAACCCCATAAGCTCAGTCTTGAGATGTCTAAGAAGACTGCCCCCTTCAGGATCTGTCCACCTCATAAGGAACTGGGGATAGCCAGGGTGACTTGGGGAGACTGCAAGGGACATGCCTGAACTGGCTTAGGACACAGAGGGCACGGACAGGTGGCCAGACTGGGAAACAGGTGTTGGGGAGGCCTGAGATGGATGGAGGAGAAGGGAGCATTCTACCCAGAAGAGGTAGTTGAGACCCAGGTAGAAGCTAAAGGACTTTATTTTCTGGAAACTTGGGGCCACACTCCTTCCCTGAGGGGCCCTGGGCTACAGGCAGAGCTTGTAGTCCTTCATGGGGGAACCTGCCTGCTCCTGGGTCCCAGACTGGGGCATGGGCTACACGTCTTCCTCAGACACCAAGCAGTAGAAATCTGTGCGGGCACTGTAGTTTCGGGAGCCAAGGTCGGAGACGTCCATCTCGCTGCTATGGCCCTCTCCCATCGAAACCCCACTGGCATGCGGTGGGGCTGGTGGCTCCCCAAAGACAGGCCCTCGTACACCTGAAGGGTACACAAGCCTGAGGCTGGGCTGCCCACGCCTCCCTTGTGCCAAGACCGTGCCGAGGCAGTCACCAGGAACGTAGCCTGCTCACCCCAGCCATGGTGGCACTGGAGGTCCAGGCAATGCCTAGGAAGTCCTCCCCTACCCAGGGGCTGCTGGGTTGGTGATCAAACCTTCCACAGGTCGCAGGGGCCCTCAGCTCCCCCCGACCTGCCCATCCCCTACCCTGGGCAGTCTTGGTCAGTGTGGCCGGGCAGGCATACCCAGGTCTCCCTCGGGATCAGGGTCCAGCTCCTGCTCCAGAGCCCGGCCTTCAGCGGCACGGCCTCGCATGATCAGCATGGGGTCGTTGTCATCCTGAAGGTGGGTCTGGGGGTCCCCCTCAACTGGCCTGTACCGCACCTTCCGCGGCAGTGCAAGCTGCAGCTCTTTCCAAAAATCAGAGGACGCCATCTGGGGGCGGGTGGGGCCGTCAAGCTCTGGGGTCCCGCTCGCGAACCCCATCTGGTCCCCTGCCCCCCGCTCCCGAGCGCACCGCAGAGCCCGGCCTCCAGAGCAGCAGGGTGACCAGGTGGCGGTGCTGGCGCAGCAGGTGCAGCGCAGGGTGCGCCAGGTCGCGCCGCGGGCCCTCAAAGGTGATGAAGATGGGTCTGCGCGTCAGCTCCAGCAGCCGACACAAGCCCTCCCTGCAAGGACAGCACTGTCAAGCACGGCAGGAGGGCCCGGTTCCCCCCTCGACCCCTCGGGACACACCGGAAGCTGTGGCTGCACCAGGCCCGGCCCAGGAAGGCGTCCGAAAGCACCACGATGAGGCGCCGGCAGCGGCTCAGGTTCACCAGGAGATCGGCCGAGGGCTCTGAGGACGCAGGCAGCAGTGAGGGGCGGGGCTCGGAAGGCGTGGGCGGGGCCGGCGGGCGGGGGCGGACTCGGGCGCCGCGC